ACAAGAAATTACTTCTCAAGATCAAGATTTCTTGACAAGAAATCAAGAAAATCTTGAAATTTCTTGAAAATATATAAAAAAAGAAATACTCATTTGCTTAGGTATTTGTATATTATATGAATATCCATTAAATGATGGATAAAAAAATTATTAAGCAAAAAATATTTGTACGAAGCGGCACTTTGTCGGATGTCCAATGTCCAAAGTTGACATAAGTAGGTACGTCCAAAATTGGATGTCAAAAGTTGGCATACTGTGGGTCAAATTAAATTGGAACCTTTTTTAATACCTAAGATTTTTTTTAATTGTTAAATGTTTTTTTATAATTTTTTGGATATTTTATGGCCTTCGATATTAGAATAAATAAAAACTTTGCAAAGCGAGTCTACTTCAGTGGCATACAGACTTTTTGAATTAACGTAAAACTTTTAAAAGAAAAAAAAATAATATATTTTAATGTACGCCACTGAAGTAGAGTAGCTTTTATCATTGCTGTTTTGACTGTTTTTATCTGTAGTAATATTATCACCGTCACTACTGTCAAAGTCACTAATTAAACTTCTACGTCCAGGTGTCTAAGGTGGTAGGTATTCTGAACCAGATTCAATTACGAATTTGCTGCTCAACGAACCATCACAATCACTCATTTTAATGTCAGATAATAATAATAATAATTAACAAAATTATGTAAATCCGATGATTTTGGCTACAGTAGTATAATATGAGCCCAAAGTTTTTGAATTTTTTCAAAATTAGATGCCTGACCCTCGATTTTAGGCATAAAACACAAACATCACATTAACCAATCTCACCGCGACTTTTAAACAGGGGGTTCCCATTTAATAAACGAATTTTAAACGGGGGTTCCCCTTTTGTCCAGATATCAAGAAATTTCAAGATTTCTTGAATCAAGACAAGAAATCAACTCTCAAGAAATGGTCAAAACAAGATTTTTTTAATTCTTGAAAATATTTCAAGACAAGACAAGAAATTGCTTGTCAAGACAAGATTTCTTGTCTTGCCGATCCGTATCTAAAACCATTAAATCAAATGATACAGCGCACACTAACATCCTGGCCGTCCGTTGGTCGTTGCGACAAGTAGACTGCACTAAAATATTATTTTCTGCCGCTTGTTGCCGGTTTTCTTCAAAATTAATAATTTTTCAGATGAAATCCCACAAATTCAACGCACAATTTTTTATTTTCTATAACATATAGTGTTTTAGTGTAGTTTTTGCACACGTGCAGAAAATCCAAAGAAATAGTATACAGACTGGATCAAAGGGAAACTTTTTTCATCAAGGGTCGATTCTAGTAAAAATTCAAAACATTTTTATATGACATACTCTATTTATGGTTGGTATGGTACCTGTTTTATACCTTCGAGTTTTGATATTAAAAAATAAAAAAAAATCATATTTAAAGTTTTTCTACAACCACTTGTTTTTTTATTAAATTAGTTTTTTTAGTTGTATTGTAGTCATGTAGGTACAAGGAGGACAACTGTATTTTAAATATTATATTTAATTTAACGTTTTTCAAACAGGGTCGATTAGACTATATTTCTACTAGGTACATTATTTTTTAAAAAAATTAAGAGTAAAAGTAACTTAAACATTCATAAAAATAGAAGCATTTATTGTTGTAGATTCTCAGTAACAATAAAAAGAGGAATTTAAATTGTAAACATTGATATAACTGGAAGCTAAACTTTCTACCTGCTTCTATTTAGAGCCAGTGTCTGACGACCTTTTTTTACGATGGCCCTAATATGTTTACTTCTAAAGTCGATAAGAGCCATAAGTAGAAGTACATATCAGTAGAAAAAAGAAACAGAATATCTCCCTTTTTGTCGGTCGCGCGTACACAATGCTTTTCATTCGGCCTATTTATTCTACTTATTCGTGCGCGCTCGGTTCGTTCGGGCTAAAATGCTCAAGTCTGGACGAACCTTTAGGAACAATACTGTTTCTGTCCTTTATTGATATAATGCTGAAAATCTCACGTGTTACATGTCTCACTCTACACATATTAAGTTATAAGACGTAGGATGTAGAATATTCTGATATGAAACGATTGATGGAATACCAGGCATCGCGGATTTGAAAAACATAGAAATAACGACGTTATCGTGTAGTCGGGGTTGGAGATTTTATTTACTCCATTTACCACACCAGTATTTATTAACGAAAAATCCAAGAATATTTTAAATAAATTATTTAATATTAGAACATTTAATAAGCTCATGAATAGCAACTTCGCTTTTTAGTTAACTCGGATATTTTAACATTTCAGAAACTTAATTCTTTCTGAAACAATATTTTCTCATCGGTAAAACGTAAAAAATCGTTAGATCTGACAACTCTGTTGACACTGGCCGTTCATCTGGCCGCAGCTATAAACGCAATACATCCGGCCAGCCGACGCGCCACGGCCATGTTGTTGCGACCTGGTCGTCAGTGAGTTCGAGCTCTAAGAATAAATCAAACTAGCCTTGTCACGAATTTACCCATTAGGTTACGTATCTTCCCAATTCTTTCAATAAACGATTTCAGTCTGAAAAGAAGAATGCCGACTTTACTACTAGGTTAAAAATACACCTACAATTCCAAGTAAATTAGGTAAACTAAATATAAAAGCAAACTAAAACGGTTATGCATTATTCGCTGAGCTAATTAACTTTGCTGTTCAAGCTATGCCATTTTCTCGGCATTTAATGAGATATTTCCAGCGAAATACGGAAAATTAATTTCTAGGCCAATCTCATGCTACTCAAGTTATCTTAAAGAGAAGAATTTGTTATTACACTCTCGGTGACTTTCTTTTTCATACAATAAGATTATAATGAAATGTCTAGCATTAAAAGGCAAGTCTTGGTATTAAAATCGTTAAGAATTTAATCTTATTTTTATAACTTTCCATATTTTTATTACTTAAAATATTTTAAAAATGTCTATACCTATGTGGCGGATTCATCTCTCCAAAAAAATCCTTTAAGGGTATTTCGCCACTGCACTCCAAGAAAATCTACAAAATAAAATAGTTATTTTTTGTAAACACTTCTGCGTTAAACCTAACCGGACACTGCTTGTCAGAAGTTATGTTTACAGTTATACAAATTTGCGTAACAAAGAAAAAAATGCTTAACGTTTCGGAAAAACATGCATAATTGTAAGTCGGTAGGCTGGTTACGAGCCCTAACGTTATATGTTAGGACAAGGTCTTTTTTTGCAATAAAATAGTAATTTATTAAAACGACTCAATTTATTTTGTCTATTATTCTAAATTCAAACATTACAATATGATCTAGACAATTTTACTATATTTTTATAACTTTGCAAACAAATTACTTTTGACAATAGCTTATTTTGCCAAAATCGAGCCAAATTTGCTGACAACTATACCTATATATTGGCACAGCACAACAAGAAATTTGTTTAATACGGAGTTACATCACCTTTCGCCTTAACTATACTGCCTGAACTCTTAATGGCATTGTATTTACCAAAGAGTGGCACATTTGAGGAGAAAAATTATCCCAAATTCCCTGCTGTTTTGTCCGCAAATCAAAAATTGTTCGTTGAGGGTCGTTTCTTAAATATTGCTTCATTTTATGCCACACAGTTTCTATAACATTGAGGTCCGGACTACTTGCAGGATGGGATAGAACTTTTATATTATTATTACCGAACCAATTTTTAGTTGATTTTGCTGAATGATAGGATGCTCCATCTTGTTGGAAAATATAGTCTTCGTTTAGAAACAATTCTTGAGCACTAGGCAAAAGTGAGGCTCAAGTATATGTTGATATTTTTGGGCGTTAACAGTGCCATCTATAAAATTTAATTTGCCCAAACCTCTTGCTGACATGCAGCCCCAAACCAGAATCCCCTTAAGAAATTTAACAACCCTCTTTAAGCAATCTTTATGAAAGGCTTCTGCTTTATTTCGTATTATTCGTTTTCGATGATCTCCAACGCAAAACATCAAATTTAGACTCATCGCTAAATATGACCTTATTCCAATCATTTGGTGTCCACGATAATTTAGATTTTGTCCAATTGTAGCGATTTTTCTTTAGCCTAAATAAGAATTTGTATCAATAATCTTCAGGTAACTAATTGATTATCCACACAAAACAAAGTTTACCTTGTAAAACCCCAGACCGCATTTATGGATATATTTTCGGCAACATTCTCTTGATATATTTAAACCTGTTACAGTATTCCATTTAACTGCTACTTCGCGAAGAGTACTTCTTCTCGCAAATTTTTACTAAATTTTGTAAATCCCTCTGAGATGCAACTTTTGACCTTTCAGAACTTTTACCCCTAACGTCTACATTGGCAGATTCGCCGTATTTTTTTTTATTATATTAAAGACCGTGGTTTTTGGAATACTTAAATCATCAGAAATTTTTCGAATTGTTTTTCCCGTACTGTATTGACGAATGATAATTTCGCGTAGTTTTTGATTTGTAGCTTTTCACGGACCATTACTTGAATTAAATTAAAAAAAATGAAAATTAAAAAAATTAAAATTACTTACAGTAAATCTCACTACTCAAAGTATCGAGTCACTTGCAAGCTGTCAATGCTGAAGTAAACAGTTTGCGACATTTGTGACGTCAGAGCAAAGCCGCCTATGATGATATTAATTATTTAAAAATACTTGTCCCAACATTTAATTGTCAGCAAATTTGTCCTTTTATGAGCAAAATCCGCTACTGTAAATATGGATTGATTTACAAATTCATAAAAATATTGTCAAGTTGTTTAGGGTATATTTAAAAACTTAAACATAATATATTTTTCAGTCATTTTGAAAAACCAGGGCAATAATTCCAAAATATATCCTTGTCCCAACATATAGTTGTTTTAGGGCTCGTATTAATTATTTCTCATAATACCTTCCCCGTGTACAAATTTACAGATGTAAAACAACATCGTATGTATCCCATACATACATTTTTATTTATATATTTTTTATTTATTTCAGATTTGACATCGGAATGACCCGCACCAATCACCAACCAAACCGGAAAAATGGAAAAGTTGGATAAAAATCACATTAGAATTAACTTTATTTTAAAGTTAATATTCTTATATTTGGCTTATACATCGTCAGTTGAGGCTTGCGCTGATCCAAACACAAACTCCAGTGACATAGATGCGGAACTAAAAACTTACGTAGATAGTGTTTTAAAAACTGAAAATTTTAACATAATACCCGGTGTGTACTTAGAAAGTTTAAAAAATGTGACTTTAAATAACAGCAGTTGTGATACTGGGAGAAGTTCAGATTCTCTGGAAAGTTTTTTTAGTAGAAGACTGGGAGATTTTTTCGAAAATCATGTGGTGGCTGTAAATTTAGAACAAACTGCGAGGTTTCTCAGCTCGAATCCTTCTGATCCATCAGCGGCAGCATCCACTGCGGCAACAGGTGAGACAAAAATATATTTGTTTTATAACTTAGGCTAGTCAAATAAGATCTATTATAGTGGTCACTTGGAAAAAAGTGTTGGAAAGCTAATTATGGATTTAATTTGTTCAGTTGACATGAAAGATAAGTATCCTAGTTTTGCACGGTTCCTCGACCGCCGCTCGACCCAGGAGGACCAAAAGATGGTAAAATTCTTGCACTTTTTTCAGATTTTTTCCTACAATTCCGAAATTTCACTATTAATCCACTATTAAATTCTGCATATAATGAGTATCAATTCGTTCAATTTGGTCCAGTAGTATGGCAGAAATCGTAAGATGAAGAATGGTGATATTTACCTATTTCGCTGATAAACGCATTAAACTGACATTCAAACGTTCGTCACACGGAAATGATCATTCTAAATATTAAACCATACAATGAAAGTTGCAAAGCATCAAATTACAATTTTACATCAACTGATACATGCTGAGGTAATTGAAAATTTTCGCGTTCCGTCTAACTCTCCACGAAATTACTTAAAAAGAGGTATTCTGAACTAAAATAATACACATGTTCATTTAGTTAACATTAAAATTATTGTATACTAAAATTTGCAAGCCGTATTTTGTTGTTTTCCATCCCCACTGGGATAGGGGGAAGGGTTGCTATCTTCATGTTTGTCTTGACTACTACTTTGGCGAACATATCGTACATAACGGCTAATAAGGTATGTTTCAAGGATCACCATAAATGGCTACAAGGTATTTTATAGCATTTGTCTCATCAGCACAAGCCTTATTATTTTTGAAGATGAACGCAGCATCTTGTAAGTCTATGTTCATTTCGAAAGTTTTGACAAACTTAATTTTCCCCTGCTGATACAATAATGACATGGAATGCCATCCACTGAAACCATGCAGGAACAGAAATTTTGATTTTAAATTCTCCGAGTATTTGAGGTGTCTGGGAGAGTACAAATTATTTTCCTTCGCACACTTCCCAGGCTTCAATTAGTGGAATCTTTGAGGTGGTAGGTGCTAATTTTAAGTAGGATCAACAGATCTGTGTTCTCTCCAACAATTATTACTGATGGATAACAATGGATAAGTCAATTGCAGTCGTAACAATGAGTCTATCAGCATCTTCCTCTGCTACTTTCACAATAAATCCTTCATCACCTACCTTTTTATGGAGTTTGCTAATTAGACGTTTCTTATTACGGTCGTTGGATAAGAAATGCTCTTTTGAAGTGGCAAAACTGGTAAATATAACTATTTTTAAGCATCTATTATGTTACTTCGTTCAATTCGGTTCAGTAGTATAGTTTATAGTAGTCTATAAGTTATATTACTGAACCGAATTAAACGAATTGATAACTCATTCTACGCAGAATTGTTGGACGACGGAATGCCAAAATTTTTATTTTCTCGGCATGTATTACTTGATGTAAAATGCTAATTTGATTCTCTGTGTCTTTTATTGTGTGGTTTATTATTTAGAATGATCGTTTCCGTGTGACGAACGTTTGAATGTCACTTTAACGCGTTTAGCAGCGAAATATGTAAATATCAGCACTTCAAAAATAATAAGGCTTCATCTTTTGATTTCTATTGGACTATTGGACAGATACAGGACAGATACAGGACTATTGATACTATTGGACAGAATTGAACGAATTGATACTCGTTATATGCAGAATTTAATGGTCTTCAATTTTTATAATAGTGAAATATTGACTAGAACGCAACGTTTCGGAATTATAGGCAAAAATCTGAAAAAGCCCAAGTATTTTGACATCTTTTGGTCCTCCTGGGTCGAGCGGCGAACGAGCAACTGTGCAAAACTAGGATACTTATCCTTCATATCAACTGAACAAATCAAGACCATAATTAGCTTTCCAACACGTTTTTCCAAGTAAACCCTCTAATTTGATTGGCCTAACCCTCGAATATTTAATATTGATTTTACAAAATTTTACTTTACACTTAGGGTTTCACTAGTTGACTTGACTTGACTTGAAATCAAGTCAAGTTCAAGTCAAGTAGTTACAATTTCAAGTACTTGAAAAGTCAAGCTATTGCTCACAACTAGGTACTTGATTTTTGTCAAGATACTTGATTACTTTACTTTGTATTAAGTTTCATTTGATATTTTTAATCAACCACAAAATTCTGCAATAATAAAGTTAATTGAAAAAACTAAATTCTAATGTTAACAAGAATCGCGGATTAAAACAACAATAAAAAACAAATAAAGTAATAATTTATTTATTAAAGTAAATATAGATTATCCTTAAAGATTTAATAAAACATATTTTTCTATGTATATGTACGAGTATATTCCCTAATCATGTTGGAAACTAGAAACTAAGTTGAAGCCTAACGTTGAATTTTGGCATGTTTTTGTTGTCTTTTGCCGGTGGCGTTCCACAGTATGAAATCGCAGAAAATTAAGGTATTTATATAGTTTAACCAACACAAATTTGGGAGCACGTGGTTTTTTAAAAGTGAAGTTTGACAAACGCCCGTCAGTTTTAAATTTGCTACCAACACAAATAGTGGCGCCAAATTCAAATTTTCGTGCATTAAGCAAACAGCGTATGATTAGTGTAGCGAGCCAGTGTAAGCAAAAGCCTCGTCCTGTAGTCACTTGTTCCCAAAGTTGTATTGATTCAACTATAAAGGCAAAATTAAACCATTTTTGTATGGAACTAGTTTTGAGATTTCATATTAGTATCACTAAATTTACAAATATCACTTTGAATTTGCTGATGCGTCGTTTTTTAAAAAACAAGGAAACCATATCTAAAGGTGGATTATGATTCGGTCAATTGCTTTATCTAGATATAGTTAGGCCATATAATAGGGATTTTGAACACACTTCACATACATACATACTATACTTCACACCTGTAACTTCTAAGCCGTTAAATGGACAAGTATTTTATTTTTATTAGTGTCAAGACTAACCATTGATGTTTTAAAAGATCGATATTTTTCAACCGATGTTTTATCAGCATTCATAATATTAAGTGATATTATCATCTATGTTACATGACCGATGTCCAATCATTATTATAGGATGCGCAGTGCGACAAGATGCAATACCAAGTAGCTTGAAACTGCTTGATATCAAGTCTAGTAGTAACAATTGAAAATCAAGTCAAGTCAAATAGTTTTTAAAAACATCAGCTACTTGACTTGATGAATCCCTATTTACATTCACCGGCACGAAAAACGGGCACCTTAAAATTTTTAAGTTCTATTGGACCGATTTTCATGAGTTTTAAGCTAAGTTTTTTTGTTAATTTGGTGAAAGTTTGAAACACTCTGTGGAGTATGTTAACACACCATGGAATTTAAAAATCATTTTGTCATCTAGATGTATCTTTTCTCGATAGTCTGTTTTTTGGTTCATCTCAATAGCTTTATACTTTTTGGAGATATTCGCTTTTGAAGAAGACACTAACATTTTGTCGTATTTTTTACATTAAAACCATATCTTTGCTTGTGGTTCTAATGTCCTAGTCAACAGACGAATAAATAGTGTTTTTGATTTAGGTTATGTCTGTCTTTGAAAAATCATATTATTATTATTTCAAAAGTTGATCTCTGCCATGATCGATAGAGTATTAGTCGATACTTTAGAACTTAAAACTATCTCTACTAGAGTAAACGTCAATAAACAATAATAATATGATTTTTCAATAATAGTGGCATTAGAAAAACAATAAACACCATCTTATAAACGCGTGTTGATGAGGACCCAAAGGCAAATGCATGCTTTCAATACTAAAATTGCTGTAAATCGTTACTGTCTTTTTCAACATATTGTTTTCCCTCGTATAATTGACAGACGGAACCTTTCATTTTTAATTTAGAAACAGATACTAAAAAGTTAAATAATTTAGCTACAAGTTGCTTAAAAAATCATCAAAATCAGCCCATTAGAACAAAATATATTAAACTTTAAAATACATGAAATTTTTATGCTGCCCGTTTTTTGTGGCGGTGAGTGTATTTTATAATTTGAATATTATTACCCCGGATACATTTAGGTAGGCATATGCTATAAAATTTAAATGGGTATTAAATATATGTTTAGAGTTTAATATCAATAATATATTATAAAATTTAATACCTACATTATTTCATTTCAGTAAATTGAAATATTGACGCGTATATCAATAAAAAGAGTAATGTTAAATTCATTCGAATTTAACATTAACTATAATATATTAATAGATCGAAAAAGACATTATTGGTATTAAAGTTTAGTTCTAAATTATTACGTCAATAGCCTCGGAATATTTTTGTTACAAAGCATCGGTTATCGAAACTCCAGTTCTCGATAGATTACCAAAGTTAAGCGACGTTTGACGATGCGAATGTATGGACGGGTGACCATCTGGAAACTCTGTCATGCTGTTGTACCATCGCAAGAATGTAAACTCTATTGAAACACGCTGCTTGTGAGTTGACTGGACAAACTGGGCGGCCATTGACGAAGGATGTCTCACTTTTTTTTTTGTTAGTTAAAAACTTTCAGTTCGATTAGACATTCTTTTTTGTTGTTGCCAACCGAACAGAGAAACTAGCTAACGAGGCAACGTGGCCTCAATATTCTTACAGAATATTGAAGGAACTCCATCCGTTGTCGATTTCAGAAATTTCCACAAAAAAGTGTTCTTCAGTATACTTCAAAATGAATGGGACTCGGAATGGGACATCTAATAAACTTAGATCACATAATATGCCGCTTCTTCATCTGTATCAAAATATATATTCTCTTGAACGGGGATCTTTCTGTAAAGTTGTTAGACCCCTCACAGGACACTCACATCTTACCAAATCATATATTATCAGAAATGAACCCCCTCCGAAATGCAGCTTATGCAGTAACTTAATGTCAATGAGACACATTCTTTCATTTTTGAGAAGTGTATTTACAATTAGCCTACAAGTACGAATTATTCGGATATGTCAAAAATGACAAAAATGTCGTAGATCATTTTAGCT